TTTACTTAACCCCAAATAAAGCAGACCTTTACTTATCTAAAACTAATAAACAAACAACATTATAATCAGATCATCTCTGACTTAACTTCTAGCTGATTCACCAAGCTAATCGGTAATATCTCTGAGTTTCTTCCTTTATCAAGCAGTATTTATAACACTTGAACTACTGGCCTCACATTGCTCTTAATATTGAATAACTATGTAAAAATGCTCTATTATTTTATATTCTGTCAGATTATAAACCTACAAAGCATGGTCATATATTTATTTCTGTATTCCCAACACTTGGCTTAGTGCCTGGCCCTCAGAAAATGTTCAATAACTGTTTATAAAATTAAATTGAAATGAAGTATATAGTACTATGTATTTGTGAGGTAATAGTATTCTTTTTCTACATGGTTTTGGGCCAGATGACAGCAAAAAGCTATCACAAGACTCCTTTCACTCTATACTGATTTCTAGAAGAGAAAGAAAAATAGTGTGTCCTATTTCCCAAATTCAGGAAATTTGCTTCTGGGAATTTCTGTTTAAGATGTCCCTGTGATGAGTTAGAAAATGGTATGTTCCAATATATGGACTCTAGGTCAAAAGGCTTGGATTTTGATGTTGGCTACAATGATTTATTGTATAAATGCAAAGGATCTGCTCTGTCCTCTTGTTCTCAATTCTTGTTCTCAATTCCTTCATCTTCTCCCTGATAATAATAATAACAATAGTAATGGTTGATTGCTTCCTTTGTGCCAGAAGCTAAGACAATCCCTTCACTGGCGTTATCATTAGTTCTTACATCAACTCCATGGATTTGGTGGAATTGTTATGTCCTTTTTATACAGAAGGAAACAGAGGCATAGAGATGTTCAATAAATTGCCTAGGACTACTCAACCAATAAGTTTCAAACCCAAGTCTACCTGATCCAACCCTCTCAACTAAGAATTCCATGGGTGCCCTCGGCCTGCTGCAGTCACCATCGACACTCCCCCAATCATATATTGGAGGCAAAGAGAAAAGTTAACATAAATGTAATGAAAGAATAATGAATGGTAACATGGGTGGTAGTAATTACCACTTATTAGATACTTGTTTGTCCTCTGGGTGTATAATCACAATTGGTCCATCATAATAACCCTGTGACATAACCATTATTATTATTGCCATTTTAAACTTGATGGATCTGAGGATTTGCAGGATTAATCAACTTAACAGAGGTTATTCAGTCAGGAAATTGCATAAATAAAATATCCTGTATTTAATCCTAAAGCCAGTGTTTGCTATCAAAGTGACAAACTATACTTCAAAGTTATATACCCAGAAAAAAATAATCTTGACGCTAGGCTGCTCCTCTGTCAATAGAAGATTTTGCAATTTTCATTTCTGTAATTCCCCCTTAAAACTTTTTTCTAAAGCTCTAAAGATCTATGACATGACAGCAGGGAAGTAGACTTAAGTCCTCTGAAAGATGGACACTTTCAAGCAACAAAGCATCACTCTGTGAGCTAGCCTATCCCAACATAGGCAACATACAATACAAAGTTGAGCTTTTGTCAAAGGAAGGAAAGTCTTCTCAGATTGCAGACCTTGGGTATGGGCCAGCCTGGGTCATTGATACAACAGGATGTTGTATGTAAAGGACAGCTGGAAGGGTGTCAGAAAGTTCCATCAGCTCTGGCTTCTTACAGATATGACATCTTTGTGTGCCTACCAGGCAAATAATCACAAAGAATCATTTCAAATCTTTTGGATAAACTAAATAGTTCTAATCCTGGCTCCACCATTAACTAGCAGTGTGAGCTTGAACAGATTACTCTATGCCTTAGCTTCCTAGTTTGTATAATGAAGGTAACAGTAGTGTCTCCCTTATAGGAATGGTTTTAAGATTGAATGAATTAATACATGTAAATAACTTAGAAAAGCGACAGTGCATAGTAAGCATCCAATAACTGCTAAATGTCATTGTTGTTATCCGTCAGTTTATCTTTATTCCTCCAGAATATTATTTGTAAAGGTTCTCTTAAAAAGTGTCAAATGACATGAGTACATTATGATTCACTTAATATCGTGAAAGATTGGATAATAATAAATTATGTAATTTAATTTCATAAATTATGGTAATTTAACATGGAATGCTTGCTAGCTATAAGAAAGAATTTAGAAACATTTTATGACATCAGAAAATGCTCCATGGTATTTGTTGAAAAACAAAAGTAATATGCAGAACTGTTACAATATACCACCAATGGGAAAAGGGGAAAATAATGTAACTTCATATTTGTTCTTAATGTACCTAATATTTTCTTATATGCATAATAGATCTTTGGTACCTAGTAAACCAAAGCTTAAAAAATGGTTTCAAGTTGGAGAGTGGGTCCTGGGCAGATGAAGAGAGCAGTGGAAGGATGACTCTCTTTCCCTATTTTAAACCAAACCTCTCCCTTGACTAACCAACTATGTTTTATTATCATCATCATTATTATTTCTTTGATCATCAGCATTTTAGTCATGTAAGAAGGAACCCTAAAAGAAAAAAGTCAAGAGAAGAGATGTGAAGAAGCAGTTGTCAAAAAACATACTTCCTGAATTTTTGAAAAGTTGGTAGGCCCAATTCTGGATAATAGTGCATCTTCCTATGGTCCACCTCTCTGTGGTCTGATGGTTTCAGATGCCCTTTGCCTTGGATTCCTGTAAATGTGAAGATCTTTTTTCTCAACTGCTGATTACATAGTTGAATATGTGTGTGGAAGAGATCAGTGCTTCTAGACTTCTGACTACTTAGTTTAGACCTTTCAAATTTTCTGGCAAGATGAGATGAAATATGGGATGTAAATCCTCCTGACAGACTGGCCCATGCTCTTGCTGACTACTCACAGGACAGAGAGTCCAAGAAAAATGATAGTCAAGAGTGAAGATAAACTTTGAAGACAGACAATGCAACACAATTTCTAGTAAAATTTACAGCTTTATTTCTGCTAGAAAAAAAGAGAGGAGAAACAGTCTGGGTTTTGTGTTTTGTTTTGTTTACAAAAATTTTAAACAACTGGATTTTTTTTATTTGATAAAGTCCACAGAAGAATGAAACCACCTTGGGTAAGAGAGTAGGCTCTTTCGAGTCACACTGCACTCCCAAATTTTAATTCAATTAGAAAGTCTCTCTGAAAATTTCAGGGAGGCCTGGTGCATGGGTACAATATTCCTCAAAAGCACAAACAACAGATTCCCAAAAAATAACTGGCTCATCTCAGCATAAAGGGGTGGGGGATCGAAGAATATTAACTTGCATAGCCATTCAAATTATTGCTGCTTTTATAAAATCATTATGGGTAATTCTACACTAACTGCCTCCTTTCGCCTCACCCCAAACTCAGAGAATTCCTAGAAAAATTATGAGCTATTCTCCAAACAAAGTTTTAGGGAGGGTTTGCAAGCACATGTACAGAGCCCAAGAAATGTGCATGAAAGGAGGGGAGAAATAAATTAAATAAATAATATCTAATAAATAACTCCAACAACATTCATTATCTACAAACTTAAATGCCAGAGAATGTTAGATTCCCCCACAGCATCTCACAAAAGTAAGTGCCAGTATAGCCTCAGAAAGGATGGCTTTGTAAACAGTTTACTTGCCTTTTCCCTCCAGAACGGTGTGGTGAGGGGAACCACTTTGGTGGCTGTGGGATAAGATCTCTCCGCAAGGATATTTTCAAGGGGATTTACAAACCAAGGGTGCAAAATACAGCAGAGCTAGCACTGCAAGCAAAATGGAAAGAGGGTAACTTATACCATAAGGAGATAATAAATAAGAGGGCAAAAAAAGTCAAGATACACAGATAGTTTGGCAGGTTTTAGGGGATAGCTGAGCTGTAGAAAACAGCATACTAATCTGCCTTATCAATTTTATTCATTGGCCCTATTTGTGTACCCTACATCCTAAACTTATCCTCTCTGGCAGGAGCAGGATGAGATCCACTATCATGTAAACCATTTAGGCTTTCAGTTTGTTTTAAATAATTGTCCTGGCAGATTGAACAGACCAGTGAAATTTTTCAGATCACATTTCTCTGGGAAAAAAAAAATGACAAATTTAGTGTTGATATAAAGGAAAGAAGAGTTACATGAAGAAAAATAAACATCCTGCAAATCAGGATAAACCTGTGATGAAAACATAAATTGGTAAAAGCATTCACTGGCCTTGGATTTGATTTCTGCATCCCTAAGTCTGCTCACTTGGGATGTTATCCACAATATGTAACAACATATTATGTTTTAAAAGTGAGGAAGAGGTAATAATTAGGGGAGGAGATAAAGCATATATGCATTGGAAAAATTCAAGTTTGGTCAATAAATTCACTGGTGTTTATCCTTCTAGAAAATATAATAATAATTGGTGTGGGCAGAAGTCAGCAGTTTTAATCATGTTTTCTGTAACCAAATGAAATTTATCTTGCCAGAAAAAATTTGGTTTTCCTATGGGCAGGTGTAAGATAGGAGGAGTCTCCCAACTATTGTTAGTTATTATAGCCAATAGCCATTTTATTGCTCTTGAATATGACCTGGGTTTTTGCTGATTTCGATAGCAACACCTGAGCTTCTTCAGAATTTCCAGAGCTCTGGGTTATTGAGACTATGAAATGGTCTAGATGACTTCTCTAAGTCCCATTGATCATCAGAGTCTGGGGTTACAGAGACTTCCTTGCCGCACCTCTAGTGCTGAGGAAATGCTTTTGAAATATTATCAAGAATCAAGTTGGTATAAGATCTCTATTATGGTTCTTAAATTACTAATGAAGGGATGTTCAGCTTTCAACCAACAAGAAATAGAGCTAATCTCTTAAAAGAACATGCTCTGTTATTCACAGTGAAAGCCAAGTTAGGTTTTAGCTTTTGGAGGCTATTTTTAGATAGATGCAAAGAAGTCCTATCAAGTCCCAGAGAAAAATGCATCTTGTGCTCCTTTGGCAACTCCATCTAATCATTCCACACATCCTGTCCATTCCCTAATATTCTTCAATCCTTTCAGTTTCAAAAAGTTTACAGGTGTGGTCACCCAAGTTATTGAATTTCAGAGCTGTGAAGGACTTTAGAAACCACCTAGACTTAAAACAATTGTCCGATTTTACCAGTAAGTAAACAGAGGTCAGCAATGAAAAATTAATTGGCATAGATCATTCAGTGAGTTTTTGGTATCATTAGAGTAGGGCCCAGGGCTTCTGTTTTATTTCCACATGATTGTAACAATCCAATAATTTCACTTGAGGATCCTAACTAAAGGAATCAATGCAATATGAGAAGCTGATAAGAAAAGAGAGTGGCTGGTACAGGACGGCCCAAATGGACTGGGGATATTGCGTCCAATATATATCTATAGGGTTCCTTAAGGTCATTGATTTTTCAGCTCAACCACTTGAATTGTGGAAAACATTTCCATATTATCCTCTGCAATGTTTGTCTTACTGCCCTAATCAGTAAAGATTGTATTAAGTTGGGCCCCAATGCCATGGTGGGGGTAGGAATCATAGGACATATCTATGGGAACATCATAGCGAGGTGTAGCAGCCTGAAACGGAGTTGAATGCACATGCCCTGAGCTTAGACTTGCAGAGGGATAATGTGGCATGAAGCTGTAGGATTTATCCAGGTCAGGAGAGCCATCCTGCTTCAAGGAGAAGTTCCCACTGATGCTCAAAGGTGGAGTGAGTGGGCCCTCATAAGGTGGTGTACTGCAGTCAGGTGGATGGCTCCCAAAGGATGATTCTCCCAAACTCTTGAATACTTGGGGTTTGAGATTAATAAGATGTGTTTCCATGTGGCCATAAGGAGGACTGGGGAGCCCAGGAGACTGATAGTTGAAGTTATGGACAGAAATGGCAGAGTCACAAATAGGAGATTTCTCCTCATGCTTCTCCAGGAGGACAGACTGAGGGCCTAGCTGGAGGCATCCAGCCACCAGGTTGCTTGTGGGCTGAGACAGCCCTTTGCAGAGCATCTCGACAAAGCCCTTCCCTTCAGGTGTCTGTCCAGTTTCCAGGACCTCAGACAAAGCCCAAATATAGTTCCTGGCCAGTCTTAGAGTCTCTATCTTGGAGAGCTTTTGGGTCTTTGAGTAACATGGCATGACTCTCCTCAGGTTGTCCAGAGCATCATTCAAGCCGTGCATCCGGGTCCGCTCTCTAGCATTGGCCTTGACTCTTCGGGCCCTGAATCTCTCAAGGCGAGCTTTTGTCATCTTCTTTTTCTTGGGACCCCTTCTCTTAGGCTTCTCCCCATCCTCTTCCTCCTCTTCTTCCTCCTCAATACTGTCATGCTCTTCAGCTAAGCTTCCAAGCATCCCATAAGCAGCTAGTCTTCTCTCCTCCTCCTTCATCTCATTCTGAGAGCCCAGACCTTTGTCCATCCAGGATGGTGTGTTGACCAACTCTGTCACCTCCTTGGATTTCACGTAAGGTTTTGCCATTCCTAGATTCTGGAAAAGGAAATGGCAATGATTAATGTCTTTGAATATCTGCTTTTATTTATTGTTTTTTAATTTTTTATTTCTATTCAGCGTAACAGTATTCATTGTTTTTGCACCACACCCAGTGCTCCATGCAATCCGTTATTTAAATCTTGACTTTCTTTTTATATCTTAGATAAAAATCACAGAATTGGGGCACCTGGGTGGCTCAGTGTGTTGAGCCTCTGCCTTCGGCTCAGGTCATGATCTCAGGGTGTCTGCCTCTCTGCCTACTTGTGATCTCTCTGTCTGTCAAATAAATAAATAAAATATTTTTTTAAAAAAGCACAGAATTGTATTGGGATTCAACTTATGATTATCTAGTCCAAGTCCACCATTCTGAATAAGTTATCTAAGGCTCAAATAAATGCCCAGAACACTAATATAGCTATGGCATATTACAAGAAAACCAACTAAAGAAAATGGAAATTGACTTGATTCTTCATTATAGTGCCAGTGCCTTACTCTTTTTATTCTCTGGTGCTTTGTCTCATAGATACTTTATGCAAAAATAACTGATATAATGGTCAAACATATTTTTCCTTCTTCCCAGAATGCATATCATAAAGGGAAGTAGATAAGGTGGGCATATAAATTATTGTCCAAATAGAGAAATTCCTGAAAGTAAAAGAGGATACTAAAGTAATTATAACTATATAATATATATACAATAATTATAATTAGTACAAAATTTGAAAAGAATATTAGTAAGTAAACTGTTATATTTTATACTATAAAATAAATGAAACACTGTGGTGGGATCATTCAGACTACTTTGTTCTCCAGAGGACTACCCAGCCTCTATTTAGAGATATATCACATATATTTAACCTGTAAGATTCCATGTTTCCCACTGACTCTACCAACTGTTAGGTCCAACCATCCTAGGAAAGAACTGTGCCACAACTGGTTGCTATGTGACATGAAATATTTCCTCACCATCACCTGAAGAGCATTTTGCTTTTCACCAAGCACCTTGTGGCCTGTCTAGTGTAGTGGTGTTAGAGGTGTTAGTGATATGGTGTCTAAAAGGATCAGGAAAAGAGAGTAGGGTTACCACTGACCATTTTTTTCAAATTGGCCCATATGTTACAGTGATAACTCTTCCATTGTACATGCATCTCACATCATCAGACAAGACTATGGCAGAGCACCTAGATTTATAAGCCAGAGGTCTAAAAAGCTCACTGAAGATTATTTTAGTGCAACTATTATAAAAATACTTCATTAAAAATGAAAAATCTGGAACAAATGCAAGACTTAAAATGGTAGCTGCAAACATTGAAATAGCCTGACTACTTTAATTTACTTGCCTATCAGATACAATTTAATATGAATTTTCTTTGACAATATTGCAGTATGAAAACCAGAAGACATGAGTAGTTAATAAACATTTCGTGTTCAATTCTGGAAGAATGACTTGTTTTGAGATTTGCTGATCAATTTGTAGATATATAATTTACCAAATAAAAGTATCTGAGAAGCTCCATTTGGGCATCCCAATTTACCAGCTTAGTCTTTGAAACGTTAAACCTTCCATCACTTTTGTTTTTCTTCCATCACTTTTGTATATAAGAAAGAAGAGAGCATGATAAATGTTTTTTGATCCTTAAAGCTTGGGCCTCAAACCAATGAATGCAGGAATTAGCACATAGATTTTAAAAATATAAATATATGATTTGATTTGTTTCTGGTAATTTGAACTTGTTTTCCTTGTAACCTCATTTACCTCCTATAAATAATTAATCTTACCACATTGCAAAAACAGCCTAGGTTTCATGTTAATCAGCACAGAAATCATGTCAGCTTGACTTACTCACTTAATAAGGTTTCCTGGGCAAGCAGCTTTATTGAAAACACACGTTGGAACCTATTGGTCAATTGGCTGCCCAGGCCAAGTTAGAAAATCCCACTTTTAATATGGATGATGGAGCTTGTGTGCTGAGCTGCACTTCTAACTCAGCCAGCTATCCAGAGGGAGGGTGAAGGACCTAATTAACTTTTCTGTTAAAGTAACACAGACCTTTCTGAGGCAGGTGCACTCTGAGGCCAAAGAGGATGGAGTAGGTTGGGAAACGTAATATTCCACATGCAATTATAAAAACACTTGTGTGGCCTTATAGCCAACCTCGGAGGGAAATAGGGATTTATGCCTGTTTTGTAGTTGAGGTCACTGTGGGTCAGAGATTAAGTGACAGAAATGCAAAAATGTAAAGCTGATAGAGCAGGACATACCAGGTCTTCTGATTCCAAATCCTAGGTTTTATGGTTTTTTTCTCCTTTCTTTTTCCATCACAACTACAGGAAGAAAGAAAGCCACTTTGACTTCAGGAGATGTGAATCAGTAGAACTAAGTCACCAGGAAATGACCATCATCCAAAGAGAGGCTAGTTTAGGTGTTCTTTGCAGTGTTAACTGTCATATTCCAGGATTCCTTCCTCTTCCAAATTTTTTCTTGTTCCTTCCACCCTTTTATTCTCCCACCTTCTCTTACTCTCCTACTTTCTCCTTTTTTTCCCCCTCTTCCTTCTATTTCTCTCATCTCCTCTTCAACTCACTGAGTCATACTTACAAGCATGGAGAGTTGAGAAGGAAGATTCAAGATAGGAATTCAGAGTCTCCTGAATTACCCCTGAAACTGAATACCACCCTAGCCTCTGTAATTGACCTTTTTATTATTTTATTTTTATTCTTATCTCCACCTCCCTACCTCTGGAAATTAGCCAAGCTCTGTCAATCCTCATCTTCCTCAAGAAGTGGGATTAGGAGAATAGAGTAGACTATCCTTTGCCTTTAACATAACTTAATGGTTCCTGTAAGAGTCAAAGAGCTATTTTCAAATTAGATTATCAGCAGGGATGAAGGAAAACAACCAACTGGCTTTAGCTAAAACGATGAAAAGGACAATCATGGAAAGGATGGATGGCTCCAATTTAACTCTCTCTTTTCCCCTAGATTCTGGTCCCTTAGCCCTAAGAGAATCCCATGGATATTTGATGTGGCTTTGAAATCTTGGAAGGTAGAATAACACACACTCTAGGCCCAACTCTTCTGATTCCTGGTTGCTGATCTCAAACATATTACATGACTCTCTGATCTTCCATTTCCTCTTTGATAAAATAAGAATAAGGTATATTCAACATGGTTCTTGCATGGTAAATAAAAATAAGAAAAGGTTTTGTAGACCTTAGATGCTATAAAACATTATCCATATATTAATCTTGTGTTTATTCTTTAATTCTCTTATCTAATCTATTTACACATTTGCATATTCAAAAATAGAAATTGCTTCTCACAGATGAATGGTAAAAGTAGATTGTACTAACTACTGTGCCCCTTATTATCTTGAGGGAAACTTCTCTGATTGGCTCAGAAGATAATCTGACAATTGCCCAATGCAGCTGGACAGCAGACTCTGGAGTCATATTACCTGAGTTTAAATTTCAGTTCTATTACTTACTAGATGGGTGACCTTAGCCAAGTTTCATAACTTTTCTGGGTCTTATCCCCTTTCTTTAAAATGGGAATAATAATAGTCCTACCTCATAGGATTACTGTGAGCATAATGAGCTAATGTATTTAAAGATTTTGAATAATGCCAGACATCATAAATGCCATGTAAGTGTTAGGTACTATTGTTCCTAAAGTTCATCATTAATTCTTCCAGTCACATGGACAAAAATAAGCGTAATTGCAATCTGTGCTTAATATTGATTTTATGCCAACAAAAGCCAATAGCTCTATCTCAACAACCATTTTCAAAAATGTTTGCCAAACCCACTCCTCTAACTTCCTACTGAAACTAAATATCAAAGCTTCTATCCTGTTGCAAGAGATGAGGAAAAGAAGTTCTATCAGCTGCCTCTACCGGATTGACTAAAACTCTTCCACCATTCAAGAAGGAAGTTAGTCTCTTTCATTCTGTTTTTAAATCAGGAGACAGCAATTTAATGGACACTCTTACTCCGTTAAATGAATTTTTAGGTTCATAAAGTTTCTGGTGGAATATAGAAAATTCTTGGCCCCTGGACATTTTTCCTTTTGTCTGATTAGACACTATTGGGGATAAGACTTTCCTATCAGAATAAAGTACCAGAGGTCTGAAGAGAAAAATAAAGTGTCTCTCAAATAGAAGTAAAAACCAGGACTCCTCAAAGATTTTTTATTTTTTTTTTTTTGCCTTTGACTTTTTCCACCTACATATCTCCAATGCATCAAAAAGTTAGCAGAGGGGAAGAGATGATGAACATCCAGTTTTAGACTTGAGAATTGAAAATGTGTGTGATACAGTTCAAGGAGACTAACTTGGTTCTCTCCAGAATAAGTATCTCAATCTACCGTGGCTTTTAGCCAGTTAATGAACCAGCTCAGGGGTGTATTGAAAGAATCATGAAACTGAAACCCTCTTCACTCATTTATTACTTACCTATTAAATGAGCACAGAAAAATTATTTTCATTTTTTTACCCTTAGGGCAAAGTGGAAATGATATTTCTGTCTTTCATATCGCATTCAGAAGCTTTAATGAAAAGCAAGGAAACCAAGCACAAGTACTTATACTTTGTAAAATTATTATGCAAATGTAATGGTTGGCAATTGTTTGATAAAAGCAGAATGGGAAAGTCTATAGCACTACACAGAGTATTGTGATAAACGATTTTAAGTTTCCCCAAATTTTACAAAAGAAATTAGCTCTCAAAATATACATGAAGCTGACTCCAGTGTGGCAAAATCAATGAATACTGGCTCTGGAGGAAGAATACAGCCTTCCCTGACTACACCCTCAAATGCATTCTAATTCTCTAAAGCCCGTTTTATTCTTTGATCTTGGAATTAGGACATCCTTACGCATCTAACATTATAACAAAATTTTGGCTTATCTTTAGGGTCTTCTTAAATTTCACATTTACCCAATTCTTTCAAATTTGGAATTGTCTCTCATTTTTTTTAAACCTGTTCTAG